CGACGAAGACATTGGCGAGACAACGGAAGGGGGGAGGGGGAGGTGACTGGGAGATCGATGCCGGCGACGATCAATCACGAATACGATGACGAAAACGTGCATGAGGTGATAGAATTCCCCCTGTGGGCGACGGCGGTCCATCAGGTCCACCGCGTCGTCCAAGCGGCCGTGCCTGGAAGGCGGCAAAAGGAGCACCAGGAAGGGGGAAGAGAGGAACACAGGGGGAGAACGGATAGCGAGAGGGCCGGCCCAGCGACCTCGAGACCCGCGCGGAGGCGGAGCCCAGTCTTCTCCTCCACAGGTGACGCCAGGCCAGGGAGGTCGTCTGGGACGCATTTCGGGGTCATCCCGGGCTCTCGGGGCCCAACGTACGCGAAGGCACCACTCTCAGAGCCCAGTTTTCTCCTCCTCAGGTGATCCCAAATTAGATGTGTGTTTGTGTGTGTGTCTGTGTGTGTCTGTGTGTGCCTGTGTGTGCCTGTGTGTGTCTGTGTGTGTCCGTGTCTGGCTGTGTCTGTCTGTGTGTGTCCGTGTGCGTGTCTCTGTGTGTGTATGTGTGTGTGTCTGTGTGTGTGCGTGTCTGTGTGTCTGTGTCTCTGTGTATATGTGTCTCTGTGTATATGTGTCTCTGTCTCGCTGTGCCTCTGTGCCTCTGTGTCCCTCTGCGTCTATGTGTCTCTGTGTGTGCGCGCGTGCGTGTGTATGTGGGGTGTGTGGAGTGTGGTGGTGTGTGGTGTGTGGTGCGTGGTGTGTGGTGCGTGTGTGGTGTGTATGGTGTCTGTGAATTGTGTGTGTTGGTTGGTGTGTGCGGGGTGTGTGTGTGTGTATGCTGGTGTGTGCGTGCCGGTCAGAGTGTGTTGGTGTGTATGCGTGTGTTGGTGTGTGTGTGTGTTGGTGTGTGTGTTGGTGTGTGTGTGGTGTGTGTTTTGTGTGGTGTGTAGTGTGTGTGTGGGTGGTATGTGTGGTTGGTGCGTGTAGTGTGTGCAATGGTGTGGTGTGCGTTTTTTTGGTGGTTGTGTGGTGTGCGTTCGTGTGATGTGTGTTGGTGTAGCGTGTTGGTGTGGTGTGTAAAGGTGTGGTGTGCGTTGGTGTAGTGTGTGTGTGTGTTTGTGTGTGTTGGTGTGCTGGTGTGTGTGTGTGAATGTGTTTTGTTGTCTGTGTTGGTGTGTATTGGTGTGTAGGTGTGCGTGTGTGTTGGTATGTGTGTATTGGTGTGAGTGAGAGAGAGAGAGAGAGAGAGAAAGAGAGAGTTGGCGTGTGTGCGTGCGTGCGAGCGTGCGTGTGTATGCATGTGTATATTGTGTGTGTGAACGTTTGGGTGTAAGTGTGGGCGTGTGCGGGCGGGCGTGGGAGCGTGTGGGCGTGTGCGGATGTAAGTGTGGGCGTGGGTGTGCCCGTGTGGATGTGGTGCGTGGGGGGAATGATCGTGTGAATGTGTGCGTGTGTGACAAGTGTGCGAGTGTGTCTGAATGAGTGTGACCATGTGCAAATGTGCGTGGATGCGTTTGAATGTATGTGCATGTGTGAACGTGGGCGGATGTCGGGAATGTATGTGGATGTCGGTGAATGTTTTCGAATGTGTGCGATTGTGTGGGTGCGTGGAAACGGCTCCAAGTGACCTCAGAGCTCCCCAAGAAGGCCCCGAAGAGTCCAACATTTTTCCAAAACCTAAGGAACATCAATATATGCTGTTTTCTCGTCTTCTCGTTTCCAGTGGCCTTCCGAAACCTCACGATGGTTCCAAGAGGGCCCAAGAGGGTCCCAAGAGGGGCCCATGAGAGCCCCAAGACGGCCCCAAAAGCGTTCCCACGAGCGCTCCCAAGAGCGCTCCAAGAGGGGACCAAGAGACAACTCTTAGGGCTCCGAAAGGGAGGCCCTAATTTAATACCCCCTTCTGTTGTGATCGATGTCCTCCAAGATGGCCCCATGAATGCCCTAAAGCTCCCAAGAGCGCCCCAAGAGGGCCCGAAAAGGCGCCAAGCTCCACGGAACGACAGGAGGGCGGACGCCAGCGCCGCAGTCAGAGCCGTGGGCGCAGCGTGGAAAGACCACGGAATGATGCCCAGGCTGAACCACGAGCACCCGAGGCCACCTACCCTCGAGGGGAGCAGAACCGCGATTTGAGCGGGATGCACAGGAACCGGGCTGGTGGGGAGATTCGCCACACACCCACCAGCGAGGGAAGCGGGAGGCCAGCCGCGGGGGGGACCGCCCCAGCACGGGAGGGCACCCGGGGGCGCGGGGGAGACGCGCCAAGGGCGAAAACAACTACAGCGGGCCAGAGGCCGGCGGGGGACAGGTGGACCACAGCCCCAGCGGCAGTCCACTAGCCAGTATTGTCAGCAGGCCGCTGCCCGAATCCCAAGGACGGGGAGCAGCGGGGGCTGGGAAGAGAGTGGTGCCAGGGGGAGCAGCACTTTCTGCAAGTCCCGCAACGACCGCCGCGTCCCTACGCGGCGAGCTGCGTCTAATGTGAAACTTGGCGGGGGCCTGCGGCGAGGGCCCCCGTGCCGGGCAGTCACTTGCCAGTGATGCCGGCAATCAATAGCAGGGGTGCCTAAGGGCCACTGGTTGCCGACTGATAACACACTCTGAGAGAGGCCGTGTTGCCCCACCGGAGGGGTCGTCGCTCCGTACCCTTCGGGCCTACCAGGCCATGCTGTTGCCTGCAAGGTCAGCTGGTCGCCAGGGGTGCCCCTCAGGGCAACGGAACTTTGGCGTCAGGATACGAGGGTGCCTTGCACGCCTGCGTGCGAAGGGTGGGAGCGCAACTGGGGGGGAGGACTGGCCGCCACGGAGTGCTGTCACACCGACCGAGAGAACGTCCCACCACTCCCTTCTGGCCTAACGGGCCCTGTGTCTGTTTGGAGGACTGATGAGACCGAAGCCCTTCTGGCCTAACGGGCCCTGTTTCTCCTTGTGATTCCAGTGAGACAACGCTGCGTTCCCTTCTGGCCTAACGGGCCCTGCTTTACTTGGAGAATCTGCTGGCCGCCTGGGGTACCCGGAAGGGCATCGGAACTCGAACGTCGGAGGGCACCTATGCCTGGGCCGTCTGTGGGAGGGGGGGCCACAACCCTGAAGAGACCTGTCGCCACTGAGAGCTGCCGTGCCGCTCGGTGAGACCGTCACTCCGACCTCTTCTGGCCTAACGGGCCCTGTTCATCTTTGCGAGGTCTGCTGGCTGCCAGGGGTGCCCAGTGGGGCGTCAGAACGAAAAGCGTCGACCATATTCTGTTGCCACGGATTCCGTGGCAAAGATGATGAGGAGCCGCTACACTTTTGCGACGGGATCCGCGGAAACGATAAAAATGAGAACGGACAAAGAGAGAGAGAGAGAGAGAGCGGAATGCGGGCGGAAGGACATCATGAGAGCAGAATGAGAAGTGGGAACAAATTGAGGGCGGAAACGAATGAGAGCGGAATAAGAGCGGAAGACGGCCGCCGGGAAAAAAACACCGCTGGGAAATAAAAGAACAAGGTGACGGCGACACAGGAATCTCGATGACGACGACGATGCCTACGACCAGGCCAGGATACTAGTTTGTTGATCATCCCCAATGGCGCTGTTGCATGACGTTCCTCCAACCCCCCCTGGGTTGTTTGGAGCCACCACCCCGCCATAAGAAATACCTGCTGCTGAACAAATCCCCGCGGGTGCGTTCCGACTATGATGCCAGATCGAGACCAGCCGTGGCAGCAATAACACCATCAGCATACCTGCCCAGATCGCTGCGGGAAGAGACAACTGACCCAGTGGGAAACATTCCCAGGGACGGTCGCGGTGCTGGCCTTGCACCTGCATGCTGTCACGGCCGTGAGCTGAGCAGCGTGAAAAGTAATGAGAAGGGGAGGTAGGGATGGCGAGAACAAGCTCATCCCTCAACAAAAAACGCAAACACATAACGATCCAGGACCAACGAACCCCGAACTACTTCGACCAGGCAAACCCCAGAGCTCATGAACACTACACCAGCGCTATACAAGTCACCCTTGCGCAGAAGAAGGCGAGGAGGAGGAGAAATGTGGCTCCAAGCTCCCGCAGCTGCACGAGCACCTCTCCTCCGCAAGCGTCGTGCGGGACGCAGAAGGACATACTGATACTATGCGCCTCTTTGGACGCGCACATCCGAACCTAACATGTCGCACACACATTCCTTTTACAGCATATGTTCCCAGGCGGTACAACCAGAAAGGGCCCGCCACCGAGCATGAACTGAACGATTCATGAGCGCGAGCATCGCCCCTGGGGGGGGTCTTACACACAGTCTGAGTATGTTTGGGTGATGCCAGAAATCCCCCTGGCTTCAGACAAGACCGCCAGGATGGCACGCTATGCCTCCAAGATTGTGCCAAGACGGCTCAAGATGGCTCTGCGACAGCCCAAGAAGCCCCCGATACGGGCCAAGAAGGCAAAAGGAGGACCCTCATCAGGGCCCGACGAGGCCTGAATCACTGACTTTCCCCAATGGTCTGAAGCAGATTCGCGTCTTCATACTTTTGGGCTTCCTTCAGGTCAAGGCGGCTCCAGAGGCCTCCAAGATGACACCGTGGCAGCCCAAGAGGTAAACAAAGTGGCCGAACAAATTCTCCAAGCCAGCCTCACAATGACACAATCGGGCTCGTAGACGGTCAAGGACAACCCAAAGAAGGCCCCTCGCAGCCCAAGACGGCCCCCAAGAGACATCCGAGACGAACAAGGGCTGCCCCAAGACGGACCAATTGCGCCTGGAGACGGGCAGAGACGGCCAAGACAGCCCAAGAGAGCCCCCAAGGGACCCCAAGACTGCAGCAAAGGAGCCCAACACAGCCCCAAGAAGGCCCCAAACGAGCTCCTGCTCGACATCATCAGCGTTCTGATGGTCCACATCGCACTCGTCCACCACTACGATGCTCCTGCTCCTCTTCCTCCTCACCCCCTCCTCATCATCTTCCGCCTCCTCTTTTTCCTCCTCCTTCTTACCCAGTCCTCCTCAAAATCGATTTCTTCATCCTCCTCCTTCGTTTTTTTGGTCCAGCACAAACACCTGGACTGGCTGCCAACATGAATTCACATGCATTCGGACCTCGCAGCAAAAGGGCGGCAGGCCACCATAGCCAACAAAATACACTGCCGCCCGCTGCGAAAGTGCCCAGAGATGCACCCGCCAGACACGGCCGCCCGCACCACGCCCGGTAGACCGCCAGCCTCAGGCCGAAGTACCGCCACGGCCCAAAGACTATAAGGTCTACAGTGCCCACGACACTCCTCAGGGAGTGCACCCGTCGAGTAGCCCCGCTTCAAGGGGCCTCTCAGGGCTGGTGCGGTGGGCAGACAACCCCCCCTAGGCTGGCAAGACACTGGAGGCGGATGTATGGGCGGCGCCGTTACGCCGTCCTCCCCCCCCGCCCAAAGACGACCTCGGATGACCCCAGACAAACTCGTGACGGCGAAGTGTGACATGTGACGGCTTTCAAACCGTCACTCCAAGCGCCGCTCGATTCACGTGTTACGGCATGCTTTCACTCCTCGAGCAGTTGCCACCGAGCGCACTGAGCTGGCACCATGGAAACACTTGCCGCAGACAGCTGGGTATTTGCGGCCCCACCACCTTGGTATGATGTGTTCCACCGAATTGAAGGGTAAATGATAACGATATCGATAACGGGAACGAGACGGACACATCGGTATTGGTATCGCCGTTCTAGTTGTGAGCGTTGTGATCATTCTGATTGCGCACGGTATCGTTATCGTTATCGTTGTCAGTGGGCGAGGCATCGCGTCGATCTGGCCTTGATAGCGAGACACCGTGCCACGCGGTGTTGTACGCGTCGCCTGGGTCCACTACAACTTGCCCGCGACCAGTGCCGTCGTCCAAAAAGTGGTGCTCGGAGCTCGAGGTGTTGTCGGGGGAGACCGGCAATAGTACGCTGTTGTCGGTCGTGTAACTTGTCGAGGTAAGCGCAAGGACGACATCACAACCAAGATGTAGAACGAGACCTCGAAACAAAAACTCCTACATCCACGCAGCTTATCTCGGGGCCCAACAGCCAAGAATCCCAGCAGCCCTCTGGGCGTAGGTGGTTTAGGGAGGTTCCTCTTCCACCCCTCCTTCTTCCCCTTCGGGGAGGGATTTACCACTCCCCCTACCCCCTCCCTGGACCTGGACGGGGGGCGCGGCCACGCGTTGGAGCGCCCAACATGGCCCAAGACGGCTCCAAAAGCGCCTCGGGAAGCCCAAGATGACCTCCAAGATGGCTCAAGATGGGCCAAACTGCATCAAGATGGCGCTGAAGATGCTCCAAGAGGCCCCAAGACCGCCCCAAGACGGTTCCATGAGGCTAAATAGTTCCCCGAGGAGTCCTCCAAGAGGCTAAAATCCTTCAACAACCGAAGGGAACCAATGATTTGTGCCTTCTCGCCTTTTCGCTTCCGATGGCCTTCCAAAGCCCAAGATGGTTCCAAAAGGGCCCAATATAGCCCCAAGAGGGGCCCAAGAGGGCCCCAAGACGGCCCCAAGAACGCTCCAAGAGCGCCCCAAGAGGGGTCCAGGAGGCTATTTTGGAGGCTCCCGAGGGGCGGTGCTAACTGGGGAGCCCCCCTTCTTTGATCGATCGCCTCCAAGATGGCCCCACGAGGCGCCCAGGAGGCCGATGCGCCAAGATGGCCCAAAGAGGCCTCCAAGAGGCCTCCAAGAGGCCCCCCCGATGCACTCAAGACGCCCAAGAGCCCCCCAGGACCGCCAAGAGACCCCCCGGACGTCCCAAGATGCCTCCAAGAAGCGCCCAAGAGATATCCCAAGAGGCTCCGAAAGGCATTGAAGAAACCTATGGCGTTTTTGCTCGCCTTCCTCCTCCTCCTCGCCGCCGTACTTCCCTTCTTCCGCCAGCTCCCCTGCGCATCGATTGTGGATGGGGTGGTGGGATATTTTTTGTTGCCGGCGGACGCGCGACGACGGTCTGGCGGCAACAGGCAATGTCCGGGGCGGGCGGCACAAAGCTAATTGCACACAAAGCGTGCAGTTGCACACGCACTGAACAAAATGCTCAGCATTCACCAGCAAACGCACCTAGGCGCCGCCCAGTAAACCAAAGTGTACAAGCGGCCACGAGTGCGAGTGCAACGGAGTGAATCGCCCTTGCGGCGCCAAGCTCCGAGTAACAGGCTGCTGGCGGTGGAAAACAAGAAGCCGAAGGCGCGGAAGGCTGAACCACTCAGCGCGCAGCCCTCGAACTCCACCGCAGAGTTGGGGGGGGCTGGCGGCATCCATCGCATCGAGTCCGGCGCCTGCGGGGAAGGCCCGGGGATGGTGCGACGATGCGTAAAACGCGGGCTGTACCAGGCAGCAACACTCAAAGCGAGGCACTCAGGCACGGCAGCCCTCAATGTCGGTGGACACCAGCGACTGTCCGAGCACCACAGCGTCGTCCTGCTGCGAAGAGGCCCGCCGGCGCCAGCCGCAGACGACGCAGAGGGTCGGCCCGTGGGGGGGGAGAGCTCCGAGCAGCCTGTCCGTCGGGGCACCCGCTCTGGCTATTGCAGCCGCCGCGGGCGATGCCCGGAGGCACAGTGGGGGACACCCACCGGGCCACGCGTTCGGCGCCGTCCCTCGCCGCGGCCAGCCTGCAGCATCGCCGAAGCGTCCCTTGTCACCTGGTTGTCTGGTTAGGGTGCAACCCTCAGAGTGCACCTTGCCGTGGAGAAGGGGGTGCAGCTAACCGCCGCAAGATACAGGTAACTTGATAGCAGCTGCACGCCGAGAACAACTACACATGTGGGGGGTGCAGCTAACCGCCGCAGAAGACATGTACAAAGATGGGGGGTGGCAGGACCACGCCGATGCGGTCCGAGCTAGAGTGTGCCAGCGTCGGACGCGCCACATGGGGGGGGTCATGCGCAGCAGCCTTAAGCAACATAGCTGGAGCTGCAAACTGCCAAGGTACCGGCTGAGCGGCGTGCAGGGGGTCGACTATTTCAGGCGACTGACCCCTGCTACCGAAAACGGGCGGCTGTCAAGCGGACAGCAAATGAAGGTGTGCTGGGGGGGGTGCATCTGCGGCCGTCCCCTTGTCACCGAGAAAGAGTGGCTGTCGCCGAGGGACAGCAAAGCAGGCGGTCCCAGGGCTGGTGAGGCCTGCGGGCTGGTCCCCATCTGCTGAGGGGGGGGGGAGAGGTCCAGGCAAGGTCCACTTAGCTGGTGGGATACGCGTAGCGTCTAGAATGCTGCCATCCGAATGTTCTTCTGCACCCGCCACCGTGCCACAGGCACGCTGGGGCGTGGCATAAGAGTGCCTGCATGTTGTCTGGTCGTGCTTACGCTGTGCTTCCAAGGCCGACCCCTCCTCCCTCTCGATGCACGTCGTCTGGAAAACGCCCCCCTCTGGTTTCGCTCGCCAGCTCCCTTTTCGGCCTGCAGACGGCTTCAGGGCAGCCAAACACCATCCCAGCAACGGCTGCAAGACACCACAAGACCACCCTGCGTAAGATGGCCCAACGAGCACCCAAAGGCTCCAATGCCTCACAGAGATACCCGAAGAGGCCCGAAGAACGAAGACGCATCCAAGAGACGCCAGAAGAGGCGTATGGCGAGGCCCTAAAAGGCAAGAGAGATTGAAAAGCCTGCAGAATATCAAACACGCGTTGCTTCCGAGTCGTTTCGGATTCAGATCGCTCCAGGGATCTTCAAGAAAGCCAGAAAGGCCCCCAAGACAGCCCAGAATTGCCCGAAGAGAGCCCCGAGAAGGCCCCAAGGCTGCTCAAGAATCCTCCAAGATGGCCAAGACGGCCCAAGCGGGATGAAGCCGGCTCCACGACACCCCCAAGATGGTGCAACCGAGCCACTCCAATAGAACAGGGATCCCCGACGAGCGGCCCCGCACAGGCCCCCAGCAGGCACCCAAGAGGCCCCCACGAAAGGGCACTAGAGGCTCCCAAGAGGACCCAGAGAGGCCTCCAAAGAAGCCTCCCCAAAATGTCCTCAATTTGGACTTGGGAGGAGGGAGGATAAAGGGGAGGACATGGAAGAGGAAGGAGACGAGACTGCGGACACAAGAAACGTGGCGCTCAAGCCGCGCGACAATGCAGACAGAAAGCTGAACCGGAGTGGGTCTTAAACTCAATCTCCTTCCTGCTGCGCTGCTGCGCTTCTGCGCTCCTGCGCTACCATAGTGGGGGGCTTGCCGCAAAGTAGCTTGATAGGTATATATCCAAATACACGGTTTGTCCATCCAGGCCTCCACCTAAGACTGGGACCCACGAGCTCCCAGACGCAAGATCGCGACCCCGCTGCCTGCGACATCCAGGAGACTGTTCTCGAAATCGTACTCCGTCCATGCCGGCGGGACGGGCGTCGGGACAGGGGTCGGGGTGGGGTTCGGGATGGAAGTCGGGCCAGGCGTCGCGGGGGACGTCGGAACGGGCAGGCAAGTTCCGCAGCACTCGCTGACCGCTGTGTCCACGGCGCATCCGGAGAAGCCCAGGCTCGCGGACGGGCACGGGAACGAGCCGGCAGCTCCAGTGCCGCCCTCCGAACCGCACTGGTCGCCTCCGCAGGTGGCACCGCTCGAGCCTGGGCACAGCACGATGTCTCCAAAGGCGCAGCTGGTCGCGGCAGCCTTGAACGGCCAAGAGCGCGACAACACCGGCGGCAGACTTCGTCGAGCCCTTGGGTCGTGTCTACAAGCCTGGTGGACGAGTGAAGCCATCGCGAAAAGCGGAGCGTTGAGTGGCGATCATGCTTGACGCCTGAGCCACA